CTTAATTCTCTCTACCTTCCTTTCTTCCATCTAATCCATGTATACGTCTTGTATATTTACATGTATTTGTTTTGTACATCATTTGACTCCTAATTCTCTCTACCTTCCTTTCTTCCATCTAATCCATGTATATACATGTATATCTACATGTATATCTACATGTATTTGTTTTGTACATTATTTGACTCCTAATTCTCTCTACCTTCCTTTCTTCCATCTAATCCATCCACCTTTCTTCCATCTATTTGCTAATGACTTTATTATAAATTCAAAATGGCCAAGGCTTCGGGATTATCATACAAATCTGATTACACTTCCTAATTACACTTGACAGTTTTTCTTTGTTTTTATGGAGGTGATAACTCCGCATTTCTTTTGGCACGCGACAGACAAGTATTGTAAAAACAGGAAATCAACAATGACAAATCAACATTTCGCAAAAAATTGCATATCGCTTTTGCAACATGTTTTACAGTACATCATTTGACTCCTAACTCGGTCTACTTTCCTTTCTTCCACTTCATCCATGTACACGTCTTGTATCTATGTTCACCATTTCCTCTTTGCTTTCAACTATTATGCAGTATCTGATAAGAAAGTACACAGTAGGCTCTTCATGTTTCAGGCTACTTCTCTATTTTTGCGCTGGCTAGTCAGTAATTGCTTAGCCTTGCTCCCTGGTAAAACATCGAGTCTGGAGTTTAGCTTTGATATCACCGGTTCTATTACGGTTAACATGGCCTCTAAAACCAAACAAACAATAAAGCTTATTCCCATTATTCCATTGTATAAACATTGATGTTTTTTAGGACTGAGTCAGTGTGGTTAAAACTTTGAGGTACATGTATGCATAAAAGTAATGCGAGAGTTGTACAATGAAAGTGTCATTGTAACATTTTCACATCTGTCAATACAGATTCAGGCTAAAAGCTAGTCTGTCAACAGTTCTCTGGCCTTATTTGTCCGATGAAATACCTTGTCTTCTGATTTTTGCAGCTATCAGGAAATGCCTCTAGTATTTTAGGGAATC